TAATAGAAGTTGTTAGTTTCTCATATAAAGACTAGAAAATCAGAATGGTGTTAATAGAAGTTGTTAGTTTCTCATATAAAGACTAGAAAATCAGAATGGTGTTAATAGAAGTTGTTAGTTTCTCATATAAAGACTAGAAAAACAGAATGGTGTTAATAGAAGTTGTTAGTTTCTCATATAAAGACTAGAAAATCAGAATGGTGTAAATAGAAGTTGTTAGTTTCTCATATAAAGACTAGAAAAACAGAATGGTGTTAATAGAAGTTGTTAGTTTCTCATATAAAGACTAGAAAAACAGAATGGTGTTAATAGAAGTTGTTAGTTTCTCATATAAAGACTAGAAAAACAGAATGGTGTTAATAGAAGTTGTTAGTTTCTCATATAAAGACTAGAAAAACAGAATGGTGTTAATAGAAGTTGTTAGTTTCTCATATAAAGACTAGAAAATCAGAATGGTGTTAATAGAAGCTATAAGTGTCTCTGATACATATACAAAGACTAGAAAATCAGAATGGTGTAAGTAGAGGCTATAAGTGTCTCTGATACACATACAAAGACTAGAAAATCAGAATGGTGTAAGTAGAGGCTATAAGTGTCTCTGATACACATACAAAGACTAGAAAATCAGAATGGTGTAAATAGAAGCTATAAGTGTCTCTGATACACATACACATACTAGAAAATCAGAATAGCGTAAATAGAAGCTATAAGTGTCTCTGATACACATACACATACTAGAAAATCAGAATGGTGTAAATAGAAGCTATAAGTGTCTCTGATACACATACAAAGATTAGCAAATCAGAATTGTGTAAATAGAAGCTATAAGTGTCTCTGATACACATACAAAGAATGGAAAATCAGAATGGTGTAAATAGAAGCTATAAGTGTATCTGATACACATACAAAGAATGGAAATCCCTTTAAAACTCGCATCTCAATAACAAGTTTATTATTTACCTGTTGATGTTTATAATACTCGGTTTTATATCGTGGAACACCATCTTCCTGAATCACAGAATAAACAGGTAGATTGATATTAATATCATTATTTCTGGTTAGAAGAAGATGATGAGGTCGGGGATGTTGTTCGTCCAATGTGAAACCTATTTCATTTGGAAGCTGACATCTTCTTGACTCCGAGTTCTGGTGAATACGTACATAAACTTCCTTTTCTGCAAAAAGAAACGAACAATTGACTAAAAGAAATAACTAGAAGAAAAGGAAACGGATGAAGGAATAAAAGTATTAAATAAAAAATATATCATTATCGAATAAAAAATTATGCTAGAAATATCGGTTCTTCCGTGATTGACAAAGGACGACATTGTTTCATTTACACCGGAAATGGTATGAAGATTCTATCTGTCATTAGAAATGTTAT